AGAAGACAACATCTGACAGGAATGAATCCCTATGCAAGGGGGTTGTGTGCTGCTCGCTTTGGCCAACTCGAGCAACAACATCCTTATGAAGCTGGCCGTATCAAGGTCGTGGCCAACGGGCTTGCCCCATGGCATGGCTCAGCAGGCTGTGGACGCTACCATCGCGAGCCCCGTCACCCGTGCTGGCGAGTCGCCGCCAGGGGCTGACGTGCAACCTGGGAGGGCCTTGGACGTAGCTGCCCGACGCAAACGGCGCCAGCGACCCCGAGCTCGCCTGGCGTTCTGATGTGGTCGTCGGGGTTGGGGTTGGTGGCTGCTTTGCTTTCACCGATGGGCATCTTGGCCATCGCCGCGCAGCGGGCACTGGCCCACCCTCTGCTGGAACTGCTGCTGGCTGGGGTCGATGCATGCCACGGCGCCGAACCGCCTTTGGGAGAGCTTTTGGTGGACGCGCGTGGCACCCACTACGTGCCCAGCAGCTGCCTGCCTGCCCCCACAGGTGAGCGCAGCTAGCCGGCTGGCCAGCCAGGCCGAACCACCAGCGCTCCCACAGATTGAAACACTTCGAGCAGACGGAAAAAAATTGTGACCAAACGGCCTTGTTCAGCAGCTAGTGGGACTTGGTGAATTTGAAATGCCTTCAGAACACGAATGCCTTGTGTTGTCGTTGAGTATTCATGACCGGCTGCATCTACATGTCGCACGGACATGTTGTCGCTGTGCGAATAAAATTGTCAGGGTGCAGCTGGCGGAAGACACGAACACGATTCCTGCCATTGCAACCCTTTTTTACCGCACGAGAGAGTACCTCAACCAGGAGTTCTGGGAGGACAGGGCAGAGGCAGAGGCAAATAGTGATTCGTTCCAGCCGTATTCTTGAAGGACCAAGTTCGTAGAATATGCGACATCGTGGCGGAAGAGTGCGCATGATGTGCTTGTGGTTTGCAACGTTACATTTATTAGTCATAGACCAACCTCGTTTGGAGCTGACTTGTGTGGCTTTTGAAAGGTATCTCTCGGGCGTGCAAGGTGTCCAGCCAGACGCCAAGACAGGTGGCGTCCTACTCTACAGGCTGCTGCGGGCATTGCGCTGAACATGTCTCTCGTGAAGCCTCCTGGCATGATGGTCGTCTCAAGTGCTGATATGTGCTGATGAGGTTGATGGTCCACCACAGTCCTCCATGGGTGATGGGCTTGGAGGCCGTACTGGAAAGCTGCCTCTGCGAATGCGAGCCGAACAAACGTGCAGAATAGTGACCAAGGGTCTTGTCATTTTCGTCCGTGCCAGGTCGGCGAACACAGACTGCTTGCCGAAGTGGAGGCTCATACCTAACCTTGACTGCGTGACTTCATTTGATGTTTTGTATTGTTTTTGAAAACATGCATGCTTGTGACAGGCCTTATCTTTCTGTGGCCCTCAGTTGCAGAGGCAACCTCATGATGCGATACCTCTGGATTTTTGGTTCACCTTGTGACGCCAGCCAGAAGAAACAGACATGAACAACGGTGCAAAGATCAACGGTTCAGTGGGTGTCAACATTGCGGTTCACATGGTTGTTTTCCAAGAGGTTCGCTCTTAGCGTGATGTTTGGCTATTCAGGCGTCATGCGACGGAACCGCCAAACACATGATCCTTTCTGCCCCAGGCTCAAGTTGCCAGTGGATTCCAGTGTCGGCCTTGGCTGCTCCGACATAGTGGTTGCTACAGTACAGCTGTTATAAGGTGGTGCTGGGATGGAGGGGTGGGCTTCTGTGGGACTACAAGGATGTGTTGCTTGCGCGGCGGTTTCGCCATCGTAAGTTCAATGCGGCGGTGGGGGGCGAGGGGGTACCTCAATTGTTTGCCAAAGTTTGCCAATTGTGAGTTGCTTAGTATTGTGAAGAAACTTGATTAGACAGAAACATGCCTTTAACATCATTTCGGTCGCCTTCAGGCTTCCGGCACCTTCTGGCCATTTACGTACTCCATCGGTAGACAGCACTGCAATACCTCTTGAGCAAGAGGGCAAGGCTCAAAATCATTTCAGGTTTGCCTGGCATTTGTGATCTCAAAGCATTTGCAGGGACTACATTGCCATAGCCAGAGAAGATGGCACATGGTTTTTGGAACATGTGCTACATCATGGGGCGTTCATTCATGAGAGACAATTCTCCTGCTGCTGGCCTCATACATGAAAGCACCTGCCTCAGCCAGCAGGCACGATTTGCCGGCGGATCACATGGTTCCATGCTTGTCGTTAAGCAGATTGCAAGTGCTTGTTTCCTGCATGGAGGGCCTGGCTCCATAGCGCGAAAAGATGCTGTGAAGATGTGCGTGCGTTTGACGGAGCTAGCTTATGACCACAGCTTTGGCTCAAGAAGTGCCCATTTACGATTGCGGCATCTACGAACTTCGCTCATCGAGGACAGTCGCATGCGGCCAGACTGTCAGACGTTTTAGTTACGAGGACTAGCCACTCAACTCACAGAAGATGCTGTATGCAGGGTTGCGGCATTGAATGCTTGGTGGGACGCTTGCGCCGCGCCACCTGAAAAGAAACTTATGCTTTGATTGGGCTTGTTGTTGTTGAAATCGCAGCAGGATGCTCTCGCGACTCGCCCAGAGCATCTGGCCTGAATTTGTTGTGAATGTCAAGGCTTCCAGCTTGAGAGGGCTAAGCCAGTTTCATGCAATGACCAGGACATGATGGGGGGGCGGTGGGGGGTCGGTGTTTAGCTTTCCAATCTTGGATTTCCGAGCAAGACCCAACAACTCTTCTTGACTCCTTATCTTATGCAGTGGCTGTCCTCAATCTGCGGTGCAATTGACTTGCTGAGGCGTTCGAAGCGGCCGGGTGCCTGCTGCTGTAAGCGGAGCTTTCAGGACAAGCCGAGATCTGAAGGGAACTGAACATATGAGACTTCACACTATGCAGTCCAGGAACAGCTTCACCACCGTGCAAGAGGTGGCTTGGTCAAGCCGTCGTTCCTGTGATGTAAGTGCCAAGCTGTCTCAGACTTTTCATGCTGCACCTCCGGGATGGACTAATGGGCTGTGAACCACCGCCAGCCAAGGGCTTGATGCATTTCATCCACTAACGTACTCCATCGTACTCCCTGCCCCCGGCAGTTCTTGATATCCATGTGAGGCTCAAGCCCTACGGTTCTGCATATCTGTTCCTGTAGCTCTACTCCATTCCTACAGAATGCCACCGACAGTGTCCATGAACGGAGAGCTTGGTCGTCACATGACTCGTGCCGAGGCAGATGTCAAGGCAGCGAATATGAGTCAGAGTATGGGTGCATCGCAAGACTTTTGGATCGTGCTGGCAAGCTGCCTTTGTGGCGCTCTGGTTAGCTTTCTGATTAGCGTTCTCGTGGTCGAGTGGCACACAAGACAGCAGAGTTTGCAAGAAAAGAGTGAAGGGCCATCTGACCAAGATGAGCCCACACTTGCAGATCCCTTGCCAAAGAAGCCTCAGAAACAATCGACCTTCCTCCAACATCATCTCTTCCGGGCTAAAAGATATGGTGCCGGCTTTGCAGTCCATGTGGATTTGGCCGTGCGCGGCTCAACAGTGGCATTATTTTGTGCCTCCACATATTTCTTTCCATTTTTGTCCTGGTGGCAACAGCAAGGTTGGGAGATGAGCTATGTGGTTCTCATGGTGGCTTTTACATTTTCTGTAGATCTGGGGAGTACAGTGCGACTGGCTTGGACCGGGTTCTGCGGAACTGTTCTTCCCGTTTTGAATTGTTGGCTAATGTTTAGCCTGTTCCCAAGTGGGGTCACGGATGGCAGTTCAACAGACGTCTTGTTATTTGCCTTTGCAGACTTTGCGGTGTTTGTGCTCATGATGCTGGGTGGCAGGTTCGCCACAAACACAAAGATGTTTGCTCTCTCCTGGCAAGCTCATTTCACGATGTGTTTCATCAACCCAGCAGATGACACGATCTTCAGCCGTGGGCTCGGCGATGTGCAGTTGCATAACGCTGAAACTGGATCACTGATGGGGACGCTCTGTGGTTGTTTGCTGGCCATATTGTGTGCAATTTTTCCCGCCACTATCTCTTCGCTTAGCAGATGCCGAAGCACGCTTCTCCATGTAGCCTGGTCCCATGGCCAGCTTCTGGAACAGCTCCTGAGCTTCAGCGGTGCTGGCATGCACAGGCAAACCACAGTGGCATTTGCAGCAGAGGTGAGGAGTTTGCACAACGAGGTCTGCCAAATGGAAGCTGCTCTTCCCGACACCTGGTGGGAGTGTTTTGGCTGTGGAGCATCAGGGCAGTCTGCTGCAATGATGTGCTCATTGACAAAGTTTTTGCATGTGTTGAATGACTGGCTGGAGGCCATGGTCCTGTCGACGCAGCATTCTGCACCTCATTCTGCCGACCGACGGGGCGCTTGGGCCGCCTCCGTTTTTGCACTGCTGGAGCCGGACATGTTGAGGCTTGTGAAGGCCTCAGAGGTGGCCCTTCGACATTTGGCTTGCATAGCAGCCAGTGGCTTCTTGGGGGATGCGGAAAGGCAAAAACTGTCCATGTGTAAGGATGCCATTGATGAGGCACATATGCGCCTGTCCCTTCAGTTCCACGAAAAGGTCGCAGAGCTAGGTTCCCTAGAAGGTTCTGGCGCACATTCTGCAGACCTGGCGGTGGCTGCAAGCCTCAGTGGGTACAGCAGAGAGCTTTCGGCCCACATCTCGCATGTACTGACGACGAACAACCCAGTGGTTGGGCCAGCTTATGGATTTGTGCATGGGCTGTACCATCTCATCCCAAAGCTGTCTGAATTAAAGAGCGTCCAGTTCCATGTGAAGATCTGGAAGCTTCTGTTGACCTATGTCGCCTGCTTCGTGATTGGTCGCCTAGGCCTCATGAAGGACTCCGCAGACGCAAGCAGCGCGATCATACGGAGTTTCAACTCAACGCCTGCGAGTACGGTTGCATACCTCATCTTCCATGGTGACAACCAAGCAGCATCTTTGAAAAAGAATTTGGATAGGTTCGTAGGCGTCGGCCTGGGAAGTATGATGGGCCAGTTGATATTAGGCATTTCGTGCCTTTCCATGGACATGGACCTTAGAACTTCACCGGCGTTCTTGGCTGCATACTTCTGTTTCCAGTTTATGGCCTTCTTTACTTATTTTGCATCACCTACTTATAGTTATGCGGGTCTGCTTGCGGGGAGTTTCTTTGCAGAACATGCCCTGGCGGCATGCCTCGGATTGTCAGATCGCAGCCTGACTAACTATCAGAACATGCTTGGGCAGCTCATTGCCATTGCCGCAGCAAGTCTCATGGACACTGCCACGGACTCATCTGCCAGCACGCGAGCCACTGCAAACTTGGAGAGGTCCATGACAATTTTCACTGGTATGCTGCATGACTTGGCGTCAGCAAACGTGGGAGGATCAACAGACAACACTTCATTTCGAGCATGTGTGGAGGAAGGACTGGCTCTGCTGGAATTGGCGCATCACGCGGGATTGTCAGCGCGGGGTGAGACGCGTCTTGTGGGCTTGCCTTGGAGAGCGGACCTTTGGCACGGTCTGCTCCAGAATTTCAGCGAGGCTTGGCAGTGTTTGATGGTGCTGGGCCGTGCTGCGCATGGAAACGGCCAGAGGGAAACATTTAGCAAGTCTGCTGAGATTGTGCTGGCTTTGCCTGAGTTCCAGTCCGAGCTTGACGCCATCTGTGCAAGGGCTGAAGAAGTGTTTGAGCTTGCGCTTGGGCTACTCCGACAACGTTTAGTTGATGACATTCACAAAGCCACAGAAGCCTTGCAGCAGCGTCTGTTGACATCGTGCAAGATTCGAGTGCGAATCACCTCCGACACCCTGGTGCAGGTGTGGACACGACGGGGTGGAAACAGCGAAAAAGAGGAAAGTGCGAAAGACCGCTTGGGTGAAGAGTTCTGCGGCGTCATCGTGATACTGACAATGCTCGAGGCTTGGGCAGCTCAGGGCATGTATATGTATATGTATATGTATATATACATGTCCAATGTATGTCAGCATGTGGGCATTTTTTGAACAGGGAGCATTTTGGAAGAATGGACCTCATGCTTTAGGGTACATGTGGTGGTGCGCGCAGGCCTTGGTTGACCGAGTGGCAGCTGCAGAAATTGCGGTGCTTGAGCAGCCAGCCATGTGGGAGTTGTTGCAGGACTTTCCTAAACTGGAAAGTCTAGCAGTGTCTCAAAATTGTGCATGTGAGCAAGAAATTCTGCAGAGCGTGGTACAGGTGGTTGACGCAGATATGTCGTTTGGGCTTTGTTGCGGAGCCGGAGAATGCCTTACTTGTAGAGTAAGCTCATTCGGAGAAACCTTCTGAACTAGGCGGAATTTGGTCTGAGGGCAAGAGTCCAAAAGGGATAGAGATAAGATTTATCTGCATGTAGTGGAACGCCGGTCATCACCGGAGGGATGGCGCTGCAGCAAGGGCTTACCAGGCACCCATGTTGGGGAAATCTTTGCAGCATCCAAGCAGCCTTCCATACCTCCTCTCGCAGCCTTACGTAACCCACTTGCCAGTTGCCAGCTCACCGCTTTCAATTATCCAGTCCCTAAGCTCAGTAGCCTTCCAAGCGGAGGGCTGGAAGGGCAAGCAAAAATAAGACCCTCAAACAACTTCCACCCTCTTTCTGGATGTAGAAAAAAAAGGAGGCTTCTCAGGTTGCGCAGAGTT